CGGCTGGGCCTATTAACCGTGGGCTTAATAACCGGCGACTACTGTAACTAGCACTGAGTTAGGAAAAGCTAAGCAACATTAGCAATCATTCTGTCTGTATCACTAGCCGCTGCATGCGGCTGCAGCCAGGTCTCTAGAGCAAGCCCCCAGGCACAACGTGTCGACTATGTCCCGTAAGTCGGTGAACCCTGGTGTCGGAAAATTCAAAAGAAGGATGGAAAACTGTCACTACGGGATGGCTACTAATGGTTGGACAGACAGTCTCATGGGCGCAAATTTGAAAAAGCCAGAATTCCGGGGTAAGAATTAAAGTTCATCTCCTGTTCACCGGAATAAATTTGTAGATTTGCTGACGTTTCGGACAGGACCACAAAGCGGCGGCCCAGAGAATAGACCCTAACTCACAGCTTTCAACACATATCGGAGAGACTGGCTACAACTTCGATATCCAAGGAACGGCCTAAAAAGTCCTACGCCATTACGCAAGTAAAGGACAGGACACGGTCAAACCGAAACCAGGATTTGCAGACGAAGGCGGCCCTGTGACGAAACCACCAGAAGAGGAAGCAGGATTACCAGCATCGTCTACTGTGGGGACGAAACAGAACACCAACTCCCGCCACGCCAAGCCAAAATCCACACACAGGGCCAAACAGCGAACGGAGAAAAATCGATCAGCCCAAGGCCAACACGTAGGGCCGCAACCTTAAACTTGCTGATCGATGAAGTTAGCATTCGCATCGACAAAGAACAGCCGGCCCAGCTGTCCGAAACTCTAGTTAATTCACAAATTTATTCCGGTGAGTAGAAGATGAACTCTAAGTCTCATGGGCAGTTTACCCAAATGACAGTTCGACCGTCGTTTTCGACGATGTCCACCACGAGCTTCAGTAAGTTGAAGGCAGACGCGGTGATTATTATTATAACGACGGGTTCAGCGTCGTTAGTGTTATAACGATGACATCTGACGTGTGTCACCGTTGAATTACGCCCTGTTGAAATCCTCAAAGAAGAGCACAAATGGAAGGGCATAATTCTGGAATCCACCCGGAGGAGGGTTTATTGTGTACAAAACCCGAGTTGCTGGATTATAATGAAAGTAGACTCGCACCGGACCTACCCTACTCTCGGACCATTCCCACACCTTAACCCGATGTCAAGACAAAAGCAGAGAAGACCGGAGATGGGAGAGGGCGCAGGTAGTGTGTGCGAAACACACTCCAACACGTGTGTCGGAGCGCCATAAAGGCCACATTAAGAATACACAAAGCCAGGCGCGGTCTGTTGAAACCTATTAGCGCGTTCACATGAGAGCGGCGTTGAACTGTGCATTTAATTCCTAACCCAGTAAATAATGTCAGACGTGTTACTGACACGTGAAATAGACAATTCTAGCCTATTAGGCAGTCAGGCTAGAGTTAGGTAGGGGGTCCACGTTCTGTCGGTTAAATACTCTACGTGACATAGAAGTACCTTCCATTGATCTACTGCAATGAAAAGATGGTAACGGAAACATCCGTTTTACGGCCACTGACACATTTTATTCCGTTCAGCGGACCAGGCTGGAATGCAGAGACGTAGGTTGAACAGCAGAACAGGAAGCGGACGCGGCCAAGACGACCGGCAAAT